TAGTTTAAAGAATACGATAAATATCTGTAGAAACTTGCCACTATATTCACAAGCGATCCACGTCGTTGACTAACAGATTTCGCTCTCAACAGTGACTTACCTAGCGGTTTACGACACTACATACTTTCTCTTTCAGTGAGTTTCCATATTGAAATCAGGTGTGTACTAATCAGTCGAATACAAAAGCAAAAATGAAAAACTTATGAGATTATTCATTGCATAAATACAAATTTATGTTTAATAATAAAAAGTACAAATAGATAAATAGATTGGTAAGAAACTATTTATTACATTATATAATTTTTTAATTTATTAATGTTAATTATTAATATTAATTATTATAACATAATAATTATTATAGTATAAACGCATACGTGCGTAACATGCTTCAATCGTACCACCTTCTAAGGTGAGGCAAATGGAGTGTGCTCTTAATTGATCCATGGAGTATACTTTAACGCGACGTGAACATCTAGTCGTCATTTTTTATTGTTGCACTTTCTGAACTAGTGCACACAGTACAATAAGTTAAAGTGAAACAAATATACATTATTATATCTTATTGCTCCGATCCAGAGTGCAATAAGCAATAAAAAACAGACTTTATATTGATTCCGGTGACGCGAACGTATTGGAACGTATTGCGAACAAATCTTTTAAGTTTCCATCGAGAGTTAGAGTTAAGTCAAAGTGTAGGAATTGACTAGTCGAGTATTCCCCTCTTACAATCGAATGAGAGGGGAATGCTCAATTGTGATTGGTCAGTTCTTGCACTCTGACCCAATTCTAACCCTCGGTAAAAACTTAATTATTAATGACGAGGGTTAGAATTAAACCTTAGGGCCACTTTCACCAAGCTCTGATTAACTTAACAGATCTAACTTTGCAGGATTCCAATTGAAGCTGACATCAAAGAAAAAATACAAAGAGAGAAATATATAAATATAGATTTGTAATACTAACTTATGTAGCAATGTTTTTCTCTGGTAGCCGTTTGTTAATAATCTATTTTTGTGTTCAATATAGTATGTAAAATTACAGTTACTTAATTATAATTAGTTACTTAATTATAATTAGTGAAATATGTTTAACTCTTCAGTTCACATTTTTTTTCGATATCAGCTTCAGTTGAAATCCTGCAAAGTTATCAGGCTCGTTAAGTTAATTGGAGCTTGGTTAAAGTCGCCTTTAGAACATATATAGAGATTCTATATATAGAGATTCTATAATTAGAATTTGCGAAAGCGGGCACAATTTCTGATTTGTTCTTCATCTTGATCCATTTGGTATTCTATTCAGATAGTTTCATATGTACATTGTCGTAAAACAAGTGCGAAGAAAAGAAAGAGATAAATAGCTACAAGCAGATGAGTAAAATCTGTGTCAAAAAAGTTAGAAATCATTTTGAGATCTCGGACAAAGAGAAAATTAACAAATTACAATTGTTCAATTCGGTCAATTGATTACCTCGATTGGTTTCTTTAGGTATTGTCGTCACATAGTGTTTGTATTTTAAGGGGCTTTGCATAATAAAAGGAATAGGGAACAGAGAACAGAGAATAAGAATTTCACCTATCAGAAATCATTGCGGAATATTTCTGATAGGTTGAAATTCTTATTTTCTATTCTCTATTTCCTGTTCCTTTTATTATGCGGAGTCCCTAAGACTTTTTGCGCATGCATTCATACGAGAAAGCAATATCTTCTCTATTCGCCATTTTTGGTCCACATTCGCCAAACTCTGATTATACGATCTCTAAACATATTGGAAAGGCCATATCGTATCTAATCAATATAATAAAAATGTCTTCAACATCTTATCTGAAAGCTTATATTTGTTGTATGCTTGCGCGTAATTTATGTGTGAGTTTTAAACGTACATGTATATGTTCTAAGACGAAAGTACAACACTCTTAACAATACATAATAATAATCGACGCATACGCATTACGATGAAGCATTCAGATAAGGACAGATAGATGTTGGAGCCATGATGTAAGAATATAAGGAATATAAGTAAGAATATACTATTGCGCATAACGGCGTTAATAATACTGGAAATAACCGATCTAATTAATTGACCTTTATGCACTTTCCTACGTATAATAGTGCAGGCATATTAGAATAGCCAATTAAATTTTGGCTCAAATTCACTCTCCTATTGCGCATTCTCGGGAATAGTATACCTTCTTAAGACTTAAACACAATAGGCAATAGATACAAGGAATAGAGAATAATAAGCGGCCCAATCAAAATTCTGAGATATTGAACTTACATCAGAACTCTGATTGGACGGTTCGTTATTTCTTATTGCTTATGTCTATTGCCTGTGCCTATTGTGTTTAAGCCTTTACAACATGATTGAAGTCATTATGTAAATAGACATTGCATCATGGGTTGGAGCATGATGGAAGGGATAACATGGTGTGCTCAGGTGGCAAATGTTTTTCTCTAAATCTCCGCTGTCTTTGTCTATGAATGTCACATTAGGGGAAAAGACTGCCAACTGTAAACCGCTAAATATGTGGCAATATTCATAGTCCGTTTTTATTTTAAAATTGTCTTAAATAATGTCTTAAGATGTTAATACAATCCTCGAATTGGCTTATGACAGTTTAAGATTATACTTAGGACAGTACTGGCCTATTTCACGTCATGAAATTGGTATTGAATCTTTTCTTATTTAATACATTTTATGTTTCTCTTTCTATAGAAAGAAAATATACTTTATATTTCTTTTTCAACAGGCCAGTACTCATAGTCGATTCTTATATTTAAGACTATCTTAAGTACAATCTTAAGATGTCCTAAGTCAATCCGAGGACTGTAGACGTTAGTCCATTTTAAGACATTATTTAAGACAGTTTTAAAATAAAAACAGACTGAATATTGTCCCATGTTTAGCGTTTCACAGTTGGCAGCCTTTTCCCCTCACGCGATATTTACAGAGACGGCGAAGATTTAGAGAGAGACGCTTGCAAACTGAGCATACCGTGTTATCCCTTCCATCATGGGTTCCATCATCAACAGTCACCTATGATCCTTTCAGTACATATGTTTTCTAAGGCGCACTCATACTATTTTTTAATGCGCGAAGATCGAAATCCAGATCTTTCGAACGTGAGCGAACAGACACATAGCGAGCATTTTCGCAAAGAATTAAAAGCATTACAAAAAAAGTTTGTGAGTGAGTTTCTGTTTCCCTGACCTGTACATTTCCTACATTATAAATTTATTAAAATTGCAAAATAATTTTATTAACAAATATAGGAGTTGCTGAATGCTTATTACTTAAGCTATTTTTTATTTTTTTATTTTCCATTTTGTACTAATGTGTACGCATATAAACATTGAAAATTGTAATATTTGAGAGATTATTGTTACATTTAATTTTTCATCAGTAATAAATAAATTTATTATGAGTCTTATTGTGACATGTTGTGAAAGGTAATTGATCGCCTAAGATCAAGAAATATAAATATATATATA